AGTTTTTATCCCTTACGTACATGATAATTTTTAGTGCTATGTTAAGTGATATATATATATATATTTTTTTTTTTTCAGTTTCACAGTCTTTGCTGCCCATTGTCCATCCTCTGAAAAAACCTTGTTTCATATATTTTTGTCCAGTTTTCTAGTTGTTTATAGTGGGAGGGCAAGTCCCATAGCAATTACTTCTAAGACCCAATTTCACTTTTTTTTAATTTTAATTTTTATTTTATTTAGTTATTTTTTATTGATGTTTTAATAGTTTTTAACATTGTGAAATTTTGGGTTGTACATTTTTGTTTGTCCATCACCATATATATGTCTCCCTTCACCCCTTGTGCCCACCCCCCACCCCCATTGCCCCTGGTAACCACAATACAATTTTCTCTGTCCATGTGTTGGTTTATATTCCACGTATGAGTGAGATCATATAGTGTTTGTCTTTCTCTTTCTGGCTTACTTCACTTAACATAATACCCTCCAGGCCCATCCATGTTGTTGCAAATTTAATTAGAACACACACACATGCATCCACAGACACATGCATACATACATGTATATATACTCTATATTTTAATACCGTTGAGTGGATTCTGACTCCTAGTGACTCGGTGGACAGCAGAGCAGAACTCTGCCCGGTCTTTTTGTGCCATCCTCTCACCTTCCGGCGTTATATCAGACAATGCTCCACTGCTATTTGTAGGGTTTTCCTGGCCAATTTTTTGGAAATGGGTGGCCAGGTCATTCTTCATAGTCTGTCTTAGTCTGGAAGCTCTGCTGAAACCTGTCCACCCTGGGTGACCTGGCTGATATTTGAAATACCAGTGGCATAGCTTTCAGCATCACAGCAACACGCAGCTGCCACAGTATAACAACTGACAGACACGTGGTGTGGTTCCCTGACAGGGAAACGAACCCAGGTCACAGCTGTGAGATTGCTGAATCGTAACCCGTAGACCACCAGGGCAGCTTATATTTTATGTAGACTCACCTAAATTTTTCAAATGCTTTTTATAGGCAATCAGTTTTAATGAAAATTAGAATTCATAAAAGTAAAACAAAATGCCAGCCATATTCTTTTACAATGAAAAGATAAGTTCAATGTTGTAATTATTTAATAAATATTTATAAATTATGACCACTATTGTACCCTAAATCCACTGATCATAAATTTTATTTTATATTACTATTCTACAATGTTTTTATTTATATTAACTATTTATTAAAATTTATAGTTTATTTTTCAAATAAAATATACAGCTTTCTAGATTGAGATTTTAGTGATGATCATTAAAATTTCTTAGAATTATTAATATTTCTCATTGTGAATAGTTGGATTTACTGCAGGAAATTTAGTTTATTCATTATTTTTCTGTTTTGTAACACCTGACTTCTAAAGTACTTTCTATTGACCTCAATTGCATAGCCTTCACTCTGGGAAGACAATTAAAATGCATAAAAAATATTTATTCAAAGAGGATTAAAACCACCTAATTACAAAATTGTTAAAATAATACAATTATTATCAATGAAAAATATTTTTCCCTATATTCATAGTAAAATTGTACAATCTTAGGATCCCCCCAATTTAATTTTAACTTGTAATGCTTTCATTATGCTCTGCCTTAAGATAAGCTAAATTTCGTTATTATTTCTTGATGCATGCAACTGGATTCAAATAGCACATAAAGATAGTGATAGACAGGCACACTGGCATTTAAAATTTGCCAAAGATAAAATCTTGGGTATCAGTCTCCCAAAATGTCAGAGAAGCAGCAGAGTATCTCTTATTGGAAAATGTTTTTTTTGTCAGAAATAATATATTTACTACTCATTGTTTTATATTTCCTGGTGTTTGTCATGGGCATTAGGAAGAATTACCAGAAATCACTTGTCTGTCATCATTTTATATCTCTGGCTTTTATAATATTGTATATTACTATAGATTAAAATATCACATGAAGTTCAGGACTGACTTTGGTCCATATGACTTGCCTTTATTAAAAATATTTGTTTTCGGCAGCTGGCCCCATGGACTAGTGGTTAAGTTTGTGGCACTCCTCTTTAGCAGCCCATGTTTGGTTCCTGGGCGCGGACCTACACCACTCATTGGCGGCCATTCTGTGGCAGCAACCCACATACAAAACAGAGGAAGATTGGCACAGATGTTAGCTCATAGCAAATCTTCCTCAATCAAAAAGAGGAAGATTGGCAACAGATGTTAACTCAGGGCGAATCTTCCTCAGCAAAAAATAAATAAATAAATAAAATTGTTTTCAGGTTATTAATGAGTTTTAAAACTATATAATTTAACTCATTGGGATATTAAAGTTTATTTCAATGTCTTCATGCCACTAAGAAAAACTAAAGCCCAGTAATGTTTAATTTACCTGTTTAGAGAAAACTTACACTTAAACATCACTCTCCTAATTACCGGTTAACCAACCTACAGTCCCTGTAATTTACACTAGGGTATTTCAATAATGTATGAGTCTGATTTTATGTGGATTTAAAATATCATTTGACCTCCAACTCTCTCATTCATTGAAACTTGCTTTTATGGATATGAGTGTGACTGTTCAAAAAATTGTTAATGTCAAAGTAAAACAATGTAACAATTTGCCTATCAGTATTTTCTACTTACTTTCAGAAATCATACATGCAACAGAATATTCTAGTGGTCTTTATAAGATATGTGTAGTTGCCATTATGATTCATATGACACTAGATATATCAGTTGCCTCTTATTCTATTCAGTTCTTAGCAGAATTTAAGATAATAGAAACTCATTAATAAAAATGTAAAAAAACAGGAATCACAGAAGAACTTCTTCATGACATATATAAATATAAGGGGGAGACATATGAGATATTCTGGAAACTATCCTGTTAGCTAGAGCTGATTCTTTAATAATATCATGGGTAGATAAATAAATGAATCCTTACCTGTTTTTCCAGTCACAATTCATTTTTTCTCCTACTTTTTAGAACCAGCGCTATTTAGGTGTGAATGATATTCTTCCATTCTGCTTTGAGTTCAGTGTTTTATATTCTTCTTCCCGTCCTTCCTTTATGATGACAGAATGGTTGAACTAGGATTCAAATGCATATTTCAATTCCCATAGTTTTGTTCACTACAACATATTCTTGCAAATACAACTCATGTAAACTACAAGCAGAGTGCAGTGCTTACTAGGAGACACACCAAAGGCTACGGGGAGGGGGAAGAATGGTAGCGGGAGAGGTTCCTTTGAAACTAACGGAGGCGAGTAATTATGCATTAAACACTTAATTGCCTTTCTTAAGAAACTCTGTAGCAGGAGCTTTATATATATGATATAGTTTTAGCATAACTATATGTTTTTTCAGATAAAGAAATGAGGCTATGAAGAAACTGAAGCTGAGGTGTTAAGGAAAAATGCCTCCAAATCTAAGAACAGATAAGCTATAAAACCATGGTCTAAATGCTCCTGTCATATGAGATCCAAATTCAGACTCAAATCCTGGTTTTACCCCTAGCTGTGTAAATTTATTCATGTTACTTAACCTCTTTAAGCTTCAATTAAATGTAGGTAGCACGTTAGGATTGTTCTGAATATTAACTGACAATATAAGAAAAATTTTTGGCAAACACTTAGTGACCAATAAATATTAGTTGATTTTGCTGCTGCTATTAATTCAATTTAAAAATGTTTTGTAGATTAAGTATTTGAATAATGAGTTCAAGTATGATTATAGTATTGAAATATTTTTGGATTTTGCCATTGCTTTTAAAAGTATTTTTCTGATCATGAAGTTATGTGCTACATGAATTCTCACTTAGTAGACGACTTCTAACTTTCCTCTCTCTTTTCGGTGATTCCTATTTGCTTTTTTCATTAATAGTACTTGATACTTCCTGGAAATAAGATTAAGTAGATATTAAGTAGTGATATACATTTTAAATTTATCTGTATTATTTGTCTTTTTAATTTTGGAACTTTTTCTTTTTTTGTTATTATTGATATTTCTGATATGGAATTAGGACCACATGTATAAAAATAAATTTCTTATATTTTTACTACTATTCAATTAATAAAGCTCATATATGGGCTCTTTGACCAACTCTATTATCATGTTTATTCACATTTTGAGAATGTGAAATGATGTTGTTTTTCATATGATTCACATTAAATTCAATATTGAACATATATGGAAGAAATATTTTGTTATTTTTATCCCCAACTGTAGTATTTTGGCAATTTAATACTTATTATATAGTATAATAATATGAGAAATAGGAATATTAAAATATAGAATTACAATTAGAGTCTAAGTAATTTCTGTTTTTCTCTGGGTTATGTAAGTCCTACTGAAAAGCACAAATAAAGTTTAATTAGTACTTGAGTGGATAGAGGGAACTTGCTCCTTTCTTTTCTTTTAGGAAATATAAATACGATTCAAGAGTGGCTGCAAGTACAAGTTAGTCCCTTTCCATTAGAGGAAGATAAATTCTGACAATTATCTAGTACTAAAATAAAGATTTATTAATATCCCTGCTACCTCTAGTTTCTCTAGAATATACAGGAAGATATTTATGGGGAAAATGATGTGAATATCTCCTGCTCTAAATAGTTATATAAATTAATTACAGTCATAATAGAAAATCTATTAAATTTTCCATGCAAATAAGTTCACTATTTTAAATTCATTTTTTGTAGTGCCAATAATAAAAAAGTTCCTGAATCTACAGAAGTGAACTGATGGTCATTTAAAGACACTTTAACTCATTGCAAAACTGGACGCGTAGTCCACAGAGATTGGGCAGAGGATGTTTTGGTGAGATTTGAATGCCCAGCAGACAAGGATCACATCCGAGCTAAACAATGAACTCTCATATACCACTCTACCATTAAACATTATTAAAATTCAGCAAAATTAAGATTCAGTACATACCATAGACCTTGAATAATAACATTTTGAAAAGTCTTCGTAGCCAAGATTATGTTGTACTTCCAGTAGGACCTTTATAAATTTCCTTTTTCTGTGTATTTTTCCTTCTTAGTTTTTCCATGCTCGTGTTCTCAATTATCTCTATCCTGTTTGACATCTTCTTATAACATTCTCTAAATGATAGAGCAGTGTAGACATGATTAATGTTGTGGTTGGAGAAAAGGTATATAGCCAATGTTAATGGAAGAAAAATTTATACTTCCAAAAGTACACCTATATTTCTTAATTTCTTATATTTCTTAATTTAAAACTTGATGTACCTGGGGTATTGACTATTACTTCACTCTTCCTAAACTTTGTCTCTACTTTCAAATGTTCTCTGCCATAGCAGTGTCTATGTAATACGTCATTTCAATTTAGTGGAAAGAAAATAAATTACTGACTGTAAGCCTTAGGAATTCAAAGCCCATTATATTCCAGTAATTATTTTATGTGATGATTTTATACGAGAGATTACACATATAATAAAAGTCTTTGGATCTACAGCAGGAGCCAATAACTATACATTTTTTTTTTAATTAAGGGACATGTCATAGGATATCTGTAAGTGATGAATATTTTATAGATACCTGCAAACATTCTCAAATACTGAAGGAAGGATTAAGAATTTGCTTGCACACACACATGTACATACACATACACACATATATATACCTGTGTGTATATATATATCCTGAGATATTGCTTATAAATCTTGAATAAAATTAAGGTCGTCTTTGTCCTCTAAAAAAACATTATATTTTACAGACTTTGCTTCTGACCTGGTAACTATTCAAATTATGTAAACTTCAAAATATTCACACTCCAATTGTTGAAAGTAATTTCAATACATGTCCAGTAGCACACATTTGTTAACTCTGTCATTAAAAATTTTACTTTTTTCCCTTTATGTATCCATTAGTAGAAAGAAATATATTATCATTTTCCAAAGGGTAAAGTTTAATGTAGGCAAGGCATTTTGTCATTTTGCCATTTTCTGATTTTTTATTCTATTTATATAAATAGAAGCTGTTATTGTTACATGTCACCCTTGTTTGTAATTTTTGACTTCCTGAAAAATAGGGTTTCTTAGAAATAAAATGATTGCCTTTATAACTAATACAGCTTTTGCCTTGACTTGAATTCTATTTAGTTTAATATTAATATAGCTATTCCATCATTTAGATTTTGATGAGTATATATTTTTGTACAATTTAATCTCAATCTTTCTATAAAATGCAAATTTAAGTTTGTTGCTTACTAAATAAAGAAGGAAGTTTTGTTTTATCTGATCTGAAAATCTCTGACTTTAAATTTTAAAATTAAGTTGAAAACCAAGGCTATTTTTATATATTTTAATCTATTCCTTCTGGCATATTTTGTACTTTCTCTTTTATAACTTTTTAATCTCCTTTTATTTTAATATAGAACATATGTGCATAAAAGTACATAAAATATAAATGAACATAATAAGGTGTTATAGGAAAAAGAGCCAACTTGAAAAGTATCATTTGCCAGCACCCAGAGCCGCATGTACCACTTTGTGATCATCATCTCTTTGTATTTTCTGGATGTAACCTTTATTCATGACATTTACAATTTTCACTTCCCCAAAACACTAGATGGGACTTTGATTGAAATTGCATTGAATATATAGATATATTTTTATAGAACTGACACCGTTAAAATATTGAGTCATCAAATACATAAATGTAATCTAGCTCTTCATTTACATAGGCCTTTTAAAATTTTCTCAATACTATTTTGTGATGTTCATTGTAGAAATTATGCACGTCATTCATTATGTTTATTCCAAGGTATTTGATATTTTTGATGCTATTGGAAATGATATGTATCATTTTAAATGTTATCCTTTATTTGCCAGTTGTTGGTATATAAATACTTATATCTATAGTTTTTCTACATTGACCTTAAATTCAATTATGTCGATTTTTTTATTGAGACATATTTGACGTATAACACTGTGTAAGTTTAGGGTGTACAACGTATTGATTTGATACATTTATATACTATAATATGATTACCGCTGTAGTGTTAGCTAACACCTCCATCATGTCATGTAATTATCATTTCATTTTGTGGTAAGAACATTTAAGACCTATCTCCTAGCAACTTTGAAGTGTACAATATGGTATTGTTGACTGTCATCACAATTCTTTGCATTAGGTCTCCAGAACTTACTCATCATCTAACTCCAAGTTTGTACACTTTGACCAACATCTCCCCAATTTTCCCACCCCCACCGGCCTCTGGTAATCACCATTTTACTCTTGGTTTCTATGAGTTTGGTTTTTTAGATTCTATATAACTAATGTCATACAGTATTTGTCTTTCTCTGTCTGGCCTATCCCCCTTAGCATAATGCCCTCAAGGTACACCCATGTTGTAGCATGGCAGGATTTCCTTCTTTCTTATGGCTGAATAATATTCCATTATATATATCTCTCACGTCTTTATCCATTCATCCGTTGATAGACGCTTAGGTTGTTTCGTGTCTTGGCTACGGTGATTAATACTGCAATAAACATGAGGGTGCAGATATCTTTTCAATAGCCTGTTTTCATTTCCTTTGGATATATATCCAGGAGAGAGATTGCTGGATCACATGGTAGCTGTATTTTTAATTTTTTGAGGACTCTCCATACTGTTTTCCATAGTGGCTGAACCAATTTACATTCCCACCAACACTGCACAAGGGTTCCCTTTTCTGCCCATCCTCACCAACACTTATCTCTTGTCTTCTTGATGATAGCCATTTTAACAGGTGTGAGGTGATAGGTCATTTTGGTTTTGATTTGTATTTCCCTGATGATCAGTGATGTTGAGCACCTTTTCACGTACCTATTGGCCATTTGGATGTCTCCTTTGGAGAAATGTCTATTCACTTCTTCTGCCAATCTTTAAATCAGATTGTTTTGTTTTTTTATAATTGAGTTGTACAAGTTCTTTATGTATTTTCGATATTAACCCCTTATCAGATACATGATTTGCAAATATTTTCTCTCATTCTGTATGTTGCCTTTTCATTTTGTTGATGGTTTCCTTTGCTGTGTAGAAACCTTTATTTTTTTTACTTTTATTTTTTTGTGAGGAAATCAGCCCTGTGCTAACATCTGCCAATCCTCCACTTTAATGGGACGCTGCCATAGCATGACTTGCCAAGCAGTGCGTTGGTCCGTGCTGGGGATCCAAACCGGTGAACCCTGGGCCGCCACAGCAGAGCGCGCGCACTTAACCACTTGCGCCACCGGGCTGGCCCCCCGGAAACTTTTATTTTGCTGCAGGCTCAGATGTTGATTTTTGTTTTTGTAGTTTGGTTTGTGATGTCACATCTAAAAAATCATTGGCAAGACCAATGTCAAGAGGTTTTTCCTCTATGTTTTCTTCTAGGAGTTTCGTGGATTCAGGTCTAATGTTTAAATCTTTAATCCATCAAGCTAATTTTTGTGAGGGGTGTAAGATAGGGATCCAATTTCATTTTTCTGCATGTGGTTATCCAGTTTTCCCAAAAACATTTATTGAAGAGACTCGCATATCCCCCATTGAGTATTCTTGGCTCACTTGTCAAATGTTATTTGACCGCATATGTGTGCGTTTTTTTCTGGGCTGTCGATTCTGTTTCATTGGCCTAAGTGTCTGTTTTTATGCCAGTACCATACTGTTTTTATTACTACAGCTTTGAAATATAGTTTGAAATCTAGAAGTTAGATGCCTCCAGTTTTTCTTCTTTCTTGGGATTGCTTTGACTATTCGGGGTCTTTTGAGGTTCCATACAAATTTTAGGGCTGTTTTTTCTATTTCTGTAAAAAAGGCTGTTGAAATCTTGATAGGGATTGCATTGAGTCTGTGGATGGCTTTGGGTGGTATGGACATTTCAGCAATATTAATTCTTCCAATCCATGAACATGGGATATCTTTCCATTATTTGTGACTTCTTCCATTTCTTTTATCAGTGTCTTACAGTTTTCATTGTGCAGATTTTTGACCTCATTAGTTAAATTTATTCCTAAGAATTTAATTGTTTTTGATGCTATTGTAAATGAGATTGTTTTCTTTCATTTTCAGATAATTCATTGTGTATAAAAATGTTACTGATTTTGTTTGTTGATTTTGTATCCTGCAACTTTACTGAAATTCCTGATTTGATCGAACAGTTTTTTTGATGGAGTCTTTAGGATTTTCCACATGTAAAATCATGTTATCTGCAAATAGAGACAGTTTTACTTCTTCCTTATTGATTTGGATTCCTTTTACTTTTTTTTCACCTGATTGGTCTGGCCAGTACTTCTGGTAATATTTTGAATAGGAGTGGTGAGAGTGGGCACCCTTGTCTAGTTCCTGATATTAGAGGGAAAGCTTTTACCTTTCCCTGTAGAGTATGATGTTAGCTGTGGGCTTGTCACATGTGGCTTTTCTTATGTTGAGGTACATTCTTTCTATACACAGTTTGTTGAGAGTTTTTATCATGAACCGATGTTGGATTTTGTCAAATGCTTTTTCTGTATCTATTGAGTTGATCCTATGATTTTTTATTTCATTTATGAATGTGATATATCACACATTGATTTGCATCTGTTGAAGTATCCTTGACTCCCAGTGATAAATCTCACTTGATCATGGTGTATAATTATTTTAATATGCTGTGGAATTCAGTTTGCTAATGTTTTGTTGAGAATTTTTACATCTATAGTCATCAGGGATAATGGCCTGTAGTGTCCTTATCTGGCTTTGGTATCAGGTAATGCTGGCCTCATAACATGAGTTTTGGAGTGTTCCCCCCTCTTCAATTTTTTGGAACTTTTTAAGAAGGATTGGCATTAATTCTTCCTTAAATATTTGATAGGATTCACCGGTGAAACCCTCTGGTCCTGGACTTTTATTTTGTTGGAGTGTTTTGAATTATTGATTCAATCTCCTTACTTGTTGTTGGTCTGTTCAGAGTTTCTATTTATTCATGATTCAGTCTTGGTAGGTTGTATGTTTCTAAGAATTTATCCATTTTTTTTTTTTAGGTTATCTAATATGTTGGCGTATAATTGTTCACAGTAATGTCCTATGATCCTTTGTATTTCTGTGGTATCAGTTGTAATATCTCCTCTTTCATTTCTGATTT